GTTTTATATCTGTGCCAAATTTCACTAAGATATGTTGCACCGTTGCAGAATGATCGAGTAAACATTAAAAAACTAACTAACTATTCCAGGGACAAAAAGTAGCCTATGTGTTCTTCCAGACTATGCTCTAAACCTTTGCCAAATTTTATGGAGATCCGTTCAGCCGTTTATGCTACAAACGCTAACAAACATCCATCCATCCATCTAAACTTTCGCATTTATAATATTAGTAAGATAGATTACGGTTGATAGCCATCTGACATTGACAGCCAAATGTCATAGAGAAGGACGTGTCTGGTTGTGGTTCTGCGCGCACACCTTTGACTAACTATGCAACTGCTTAGTGTCGCTTTGATTCCTATGAGATTGCATGGAGGTGCACACTTCTAGATTTTCAGTGCAACTAAACAGTTGTATTGGCTGCGAAACAATCGACAATCGCAACAGTTGTGCGATGGTTTAGTCAATTGTGTGCGAACGATCTATAAATGATGTGATCTGTTTGACGTACTTTGATTTCACTCCTTTATTATTCTCTCCTATTTAGATCTACCTTTTTCTATATAACAAAAGGTGGCAAACGAGCAAGCGGCCACCTGAATCCGCCAAAATGGCGAAGCGACCGCTGCCCATAGACATCCGCAATTGCAAATGCGTTGCCTACTCTTATCCGACAGAGGAGATGCACATAAAGATGATATTTCCCCTACCTATGTATCTCCTCCTCTGTTAAATCCACTTTCCCTTCCCATCCTCTCCTTATAAGAAAAGGGCGGTAAAGAAAAAGGGACTTAAATTAGGCCTCCGGCACCACACTCATCAGACGAAACACGGAATTGCTTCCACTTCACGCCTGTCTTCTGTGTGGTTGTGGTATTACTCCGGGCGTGCCGGCCCTGCAGTGCTAAGATGTTAAAGCGGGCACTACCACTGTTAACTACCTATGAAATCTAGTTTCAGACTTAAACACATTTTACATAAAAAAATATAGTTACACGGCTATATTTTAGCGATGTAACATTTTAGAGTCCAATCTAATCCGACACGCTTCTTCTTAACATGACAAACTAGCTTTCGCCGGCGACTCCGTCTCCGTGGAATTAAAAAACAAAAGTGAGTAGCTTATGTGTTCTTCCAGACTCAGACATCTATACAAAATTTCATCGAGATCCGTTCAGCCATTTAGGCTACAAACTCTAACAAACATCCATCTAAACTTTCGCATTCATAATTCTAAAGTTTAGATGTTTGGAAGAGCGCTTTTGTTTATTTATTTCATTTGAACGGAGTCGCAGTCGAAAGCTAGTAGATTTATAAGTCCTTAACATTACAAAATAACTTACACTGAGCGTAAAAATGAGGAAAACAGTGAACTGACACATTTTTTGGCTTACAAACCAAACAAGACTATAAAAAACCTAATACTCGACTATCACTCCCTAACTACAGTTCTGGTACCATTTTATATAAGAACCGAAACACCGGAAATGTCAGCGTTGTAAATAAAAATGCAATAAACCGACCCCCATTCAGTTGTGCAAACTTAATCTTCGTTATTTATGGAATGAGTTGCTATTTATACAGGGTGATTCTTAACAGACGAATGAACTGCTTTGTGAAGTTAGAATGTCAAAATTCAGGCACAAATGACAACGAAGGTCCTTGACTTGGACACCAATTACCGCAGCTGATCCCGGAAGACATTCAGACAGCAAGTGGAACACAGACGGTGCGAGGGGAGCATGAACGGGGCGAGCGGGGGACATATACCGGCACAAACTCGTACTTTACTCCGCGCCTGATCGTTCTACCGGCAATAGGGAATATGCATGTATTTTTTTTCTTTTTTCAACGATTGAGCTAAAAATTCTTAAGGTCAAAAAGTCAAAAATCGATTCATTTTTATTATTCCTGGTACAAATAAGTGGTAACGGTTTTTTTTATTTTAAAGTTGGTTTTGATATCGTGTTTACAGTAAAATACTTCAAGAGTGTATTTCTATATAAACTAACGTAAATGAACTGTGTATTGTCAACACAGCGACGCCATATTAGATAAGCCACTTGCTTCGACCAATAGTGTGCGTTTTAGAACTTAGCGAGGGAATTTGAAAAAGACACTTTTAAAGGATTAAATTTTGTCACTAAATCATACTATATTTAAAAAATCTTTGCAGGAATGTTTTTATAGTTATAAAGTATACTAAAAAAAAGTTTGGTACAATTTGGCGTCATATGCATATTGCCTATTCGTAGTGACAAAACGCTCGGTAAAAATGCCGAACCTGGGATAATGTGAATAGCTTATATGAATTGTAGCCACTAGCCCTTCCGGTAGATTTACCGGCGCGGCAGATCTGCCCGTCCGTAGTGGGAACCTGGCCTTACATGGCAATCTTGCTTTCTTAATGTTGGCAGCTTGTAGTTTATGGTCTACTAGCTAGGCCATCCGTGCTGGTTTAGTGAGCAAGGCGCATATCTTTGAGTGATTTGGAGTTGAGCAAGCAGAAACGAGTAATTTGGGATGATGTGGTTTGTGAATGGCAGAAATGACGGACAAAAGATACAAAAGGTCGGGAGCTGTTTCGCTTTTTCCCGGACGTAAGGGCTCGACTCAGGGCCACCTGGGTCGCAACCGACTACCAAGTCTTGCAGATCCTCAGCGGCCATGGATGTTTTAGAAAGAGACTGTACGATATGACACTGGTCGAATCGAGTATGTGTGAGTGCGGTGAGGATGAGGAGGATGCTCATCACGTTCAGTGGGAGTGTCCTCAGTATGCAGACCTGTGAATGAATATGATGGATGGGATTATTCGGCGGGATCCGGGTCCGATTTATTATCTGGATCTTGTCAACAACGGGACGAACTAGGCTGCGTGAGTTCGCGCATCGATGGCATCATCGAAGATGCAGGCTAGAATGCGCTGGAGTGGATGCCCGACTGCGATGGTGTTCATGTTTCGTCATGCCCATTAGGGGGAGAGTGACTCAACACTAAGGAACGGACGAAATAACTTGTAGGGAGTCAAGAAGGTGCGTGCGGAGCGGAAACCGGCCAAACCGCGCGCCCCTCCCGCGATTCGGCCCGTATGACCCGATGGTCGGTGGGGTCATGGGTGGTGGTGGTCCACTAGCTGTTCCCGTGCGACTTCATCCGTGTAAAATTATGAAAATTTTATTATATTGTTTACATGTGTCAAATTGTCAATTGCAAATGTCAAAATGACAAGACATGACAAAACTTGGCAATCTTGCTTCCTTGATGTGGGCAGCAACTTATGGTCTCTTTCCCACATGAGGGTTTTTATCCAAAATATTTACCCCCTAAGTTTAATGGCGTGAAAGTATATATCCTAAAGCGTGACGTAAATGTAGGGGTTTTTTTAAAAAGAAAGAATTCTTCAAAAATATGCTGCAATTGCTGACATCTTACGAAACAAAAAGTGTGTGTTTACGCTTTATTATAAAATAGATTTCCCACATGAAGGTTTACAAATTTACCCCCTGAGTTTAATAGCGTGAAAATATAGAGCTTAAATTATGGTCGTTAGTGTAGGGTTTTTTTTAAAGAAAAATATATTACGTTGCTGACATCCTACGTCACGAAGTAACGTGTATTTACTCTTTATTATATTAGTATAGTATAGATTATTATGAAAAGGAAACAGAAAATTCTATTTATTTAAACACCGTAATACAACTTCCTTGGACATTAAATGTATTAAAAGCAAATAAAAAAAGCAATATATTATATAAAACAAACATATTAATGGCCACACATTCAATTAAAAACAAAAGCATAGTTTACACAACTGAAATTTAGGGTAAATTTATTACATTTTTATTTACAAAGATAATATTTTCGGGAGTTAAGTTTTGGTATAAATACTCTACCATTTATGAGGTTAAGCATAGTCAGTCTGGCTTTAGGTCTTATATGGTCCTTTATGGTCCATAGGCCTTAATATGGGTCAGTACACAACTTTCCTCGTTGCCACGCTCAGTGTAAGTATTTCAATTTCTTCCATTAGTTTAATTGTCGCGACTTCTTCCGCGCAATATTAAGATACAAAAGTAACCTATATGTCCGTCTCTGTCAGCTACAATCGGCCCAGCCGTTTCCGAGAATTCCGGAAAAAACGCGGCTTGCGGACAGACAAGAATTTTAAATGCGATTTTCGTTATTAACAACGCAAATACATCAAGAAATCTGGATTTTTTTCTTTTGATATTACAGACACTTCAATTTTATTACATGTATATATAGATATCGATTAAAGAGGTTTAAAAAATATATCCAAAAGGCATAGTTGACACTTCACTTAAAACATTTTCTCTCACTAACGATATATATTCGTAGATTTTTAAATCTAATTATTTGTTTTTTAATTTAAATGTTTTTATTTCATTTTATAACACTGTTTGGTTAAAAGTATAACGAAATATAGAGGTTATAATTTAGCAAATTCTTGCCACGAGATGGCACTAAACTTGACAACTGATTAACCTTTCAGCGAAGGTAAAAAAATCTTGTTCGCTATCTATATACTTTTTAAATGCAAGTGAAATAAATTTAAGATTTTCGTACGTTAAAAATTGTACCAATTTTGGTTCAATTTAATAATATTTTAGACCTCTTTAATAACGAGAAAAATTTAATTCAGTGCCAAAAAATATCGATACTACTAACGCCATCTATGTTTAGTTCAACGCACACCTCTTGTCATTCTGTTTTCTCGTTAGACATTATAACCTATAGGATTAAAGCATTTTATTGTTGAAATAATCTTGAAAATCAATCAGTTTGAGATTATTACTTACAGAAAAGAGCGCCGGCACACCTTTAACTATCGTAAAACCGTTTAGTCTCGCTTTGATTCCTTTGATCTTATATGGTGGTGCATTTCTCAATGATTAATTGTGCAACTAAACAGTTGATTAGGCAGCGAAACAATCGACAATCGCACAACGGTTATGCGATAGTTTAGTCAAAGGTGTTTCTGATCATAATGTTGATTTTTTATAGACATTTGTGACAGTAATTTAATCTTATTTAATGATATTTATCTGCAGGTCCTGAGCGTGTTGGCAGCACCTCAAGGTATGTAATGTTTACACCATTTTCACTCTACAAAATAACAGAAAATATAGCTGCCTCTGTTGTTAGATTACTTAATTTGTTAAAGTCTTTCCTAAGGGCACTTAGCTCGTTTTCTCTATTCATTTTGTATACGTGAAATAATTCCACATTTTGTTGTTAAAAGCGCTGCCGTATAACAAATATGCTACACGTAATATATCGTTGATTGTTTTATTTTACAGATGACCAGGGGTATATATTTCAAGATACTGAATCCTGTAAGTATTTTATTAAAATATGTAATTAATAAACTAAATAGTGTGTACAGAGATTCAAAAAATATGCAGTGAAAGCATAGTTGTTTACTTGAGACATTTTAGCATATTACTAATACTTTCGCCATCTATTGATAAATTCTCAAAACATGTAAATATAACTAATTGTATTTAAATTAATTGCCAATAGATGTCACTATATCGTACTTTAATATTTGTTTTCTTATTTTGTGAAATTGTTTAGTTTATTTTATAACAATAGATGGAGCTTATTATACTCGTAATTTTGTAAAATGTTTTATAACATGTAAATACAAGGCTAGAGGTGGCGTAAAACTTGACAACTATCATATTACCTTTCAAGGAAGGTACCGGTGAAAAAATGTCTTTGTTTAAAGATAGATTTAGCAAAAAAAAAAGCTAATTAACTTAGTAAAAATTAGTTAATTAATATAGTTTTTCTAATATAACAATATAACTTTTCCAGATGATTCTTCGAACGCAAATTCGGATTCATATTTAGGTAAGTTTTATTACCCAGGGCCGAGGTCCCCCACAAATGAACTACGGCCGTTACTCCGTGATGTTGTCAGCTTGTAGTTTTTGTCCCTTTCCCGTATGACGGATTCTTTAATAAATTTATCCCATAAGTTTATTGCGTGAAAATATAGCCTAAAGCGTGTTAATAGGGCTTTTTATTAAATAAAAAATTATTCTAAAACATACTGTGATTGCTGACATCCTACATAACTGTTTATTCTTTATTTTATTAAGTATAGATAGATATAGGTAGATTTGTAATACAAACTCCTGACTAATCTATACTTCTATACTATCTATCTATACTCTATACTATTATAATAAAGCGTAAACACACAATTCTTTGTTGCCTAAAATGTCAGCAATTACAGCATATTTTTAAATTCTTTTTTTAATAAAAAGACCTACACTTACGTCACGCTTTAGGGTATATATTTTAACGCGATTAAACTTAAGGGGTAAATATTTGTATAAAACCCTAATGTGGGAAAGAGACCATAAGTTGCTGCCAACATCAAGGAAGCAAGGATGTCATTTTGACATTTGTAATTGATAATTTGACAAATGCAAACAATAAAATAAATTTTTTCTTAATTTCTTGAAGATGAAAATACACGGGAACTGCTAGTATTATATGTTTAACTAGCTTTTACTGGCGACTTCGTCCGAGTAATATAAAAAAATATAAATTTTATTACTCACAGATAACCTTTCCTAACGGTGAAATTTTTAGAATCTGCCCAGTAGTTTTTGAGTTATTTCAATACATACAAAAATAGAGATAAAAAAAAGAATTTATTCTCTTTATATTAGTATAGAGAGAGAATATTGGTATTTTTTTCAGATATATCCTCCAGCTCTAATAACAACAAACAGTACCAACGCACAGAGCAACAATCTCATGCCGATTCGCAGGCGTACAGCAATGCGCGGAGTCAGTACGGCAACTACGTGCCATGGTCGTACCCTGGACCTGTAAACGGTCAGTATTACTATAGTAGCGAGGGAACAATTCTCAAACCTAAACCCTTAAAAGCCTGATATTTAAACGTATTACAAAATGTATATTGTACCCTTTATTTTTAACTAATGGGAAAATAGTAAACATTACCTTTCGGATAAAAAAAGAATTATCAAAATCGGTCCACTTGCGGCGGAGTTATACCGTAACACACATAAAAAAAAACATACAGACGAATTGAGTACCTCCTTCTTTTGGGAAGTCGGTCAAAAATCTAAACGATTTTTTTTTATTTTCTAACTTAAAGATTATCAGACAAAGGTAACAAACAGGCTGATATTAAAATAAAATCGATTGTATTAAAGAAACTTTAGGTATTTAAGGTTGAAAAATGTTACTTTAGATGTCTGAACGTTTCCGATCATAGCCTATGTTACTCACAGATAAATTACCTTTCTATTGGTGAAAGAATTTTTCAAATCGGCCCAGTAGTTTTTGAGTTCTTTCAATACATATAAAAATACAAATCTTTTCCTCTTTATAGTATTACTATAGACTAGTTGTTTCTCGCGACATCGCCTGCGAGAAATTAAAATATATAGCCTAAGTTACTCACTGTTAACGTAGCTTTTTAATGGTGAAAGAATTTTTTAAATCGGCCCAGTAGTTTGAGTTATTTCAATACATACAAAAATACAAATCTTTTCTCTTTACAATATTAGTATAGGTATACGAGAAAATAGAAAATGACTATTAAAAGTAATTATTTCTAGTAAAAATGGATAAATAAGATAATACAATATATAGGCCTAATTTTAATCCCTTTCCACCCTTTTCTTAAGAGGAAAGGATGGGAAGGAAAAGTGGATTTGACGGTGGAGACGCATAGGAAGGGGAAATGTCCTCTTTATGTGCGTCTCCTCCGTCAATTAAAGGTAGACAACGCATCTGCAATTCCGGATGTTTATGGGGAGTGGTCTCCTTCGTTTTCAGTGGATTCAGGCAGCTTGCTCGTTTGCCACCTTTAAAAAAAATAGCAAAAATCAGTAATAATTGGTAATTTTGTCCACAGGTCGTCCGGTACAAGCGCCATGGGACGGCAGGGGTGTCCCTCCGGTATACCCCATGATACCCATGATCAAGGAGATATACGATTATATGCCATACCCGCAGTACCCGCCCATAGCGCCGGTACAGCCCTACCCCACATCGCCACTCATCAGGCCAGGTATTATAATTGCTTCATCCATAACAGTGGTAGATCCTGCTTTAACATCTTCGCACTGCAGGCCTCGCCCCCAATACCACGATCACACAGACAAGCGGGAAGTGGGAGAAATTCCGCGTGCAGTCTGATGAGTGTGGCGCCGGAGGACTCATTTTAGTGTCTTTCCCTTTCAACCCTTTTTTTAAGAGGAAAGGATGGGAAAGAAAAGTGGATTTGTCAGCAGATGAGATGTACAGGAAGGGGAAATGTCCTGTTTATCTGCGTCTCCTTTTCTGTCAATTATAATTTGGAAATGTATTCGCAATTACATGTCTATGGACAGTCACTTCCCCATTACAGAGGATTTTTGTAGCCTCTTGCTCGTTTGCCAACTTATATTATGAAAAAGTCGACTTGCCCTAGTCCCTATAGAGAGTCGACACAGTAGTTAAAAATATATATACAATGGTCACGTAATCCTCATGTTCCTTATAATCTTTTGCCGTCCAAAAATAACACGTTTACTGCGGCAAGTAAAATCATAATTCATCTGGTGCGGCGGGCCGAAATGCGCCCCCAATTTCCGCCTTTCTAGACCCCAGCACTAGATAGACTAAATTGCTATAACTTTGTGGAAACATAATACATTTTATGTAATGTAATGTATACATCTGAGATAATCCTTTCACACTAGCGAGAGGGGCATAGTTTTCGTCCGCACCAGCTTAAGTACCGCGGCAGGCCGATATCGGCCTGTTACACGTAAGAGTGTTAAAACAAGCTTAATTTTCAACAGTGCCAAGAAGTGGGGCATCAGCGTATGGTCAGGCTGGCAGCGGATATAATCCAGCAGGTCCTTACTCTACGGCACAAACTGGAGCCAACGCATATACTCAAGGTAAACCCTTCCTCTTTAATAACTAGCTGTTTCCGTGCGACTTCATCCGCATGAAATTATAAAAAAAATATTTTATTGTTTACATTGCAAATGTCCAAATTGTCGTTACCATAATAACCTTTCTTCTTTAATGTTGGCATCTTGTAGTTTATGGTCCCTTTCCCACATGGAGGTTTTTAACAATTTATTTACCCCCTAAGTTTAATAGCGTGAAAATATATAGCCTAAAGCATGTAAGTGTTTTATTAAAGAAGGAATTATTCAAAAATATGCTGTGATTGTTGACATCCTACGTCACGAAGTAGTGTGTTTACGCTTTATTGTATTAGTATAGATTTTAATTATTTTTCCAGGCCAACCTTCGCCACTTCTGCGTCAAGGAAGACCGGTACAACCCCTCTACCCGCCGTACTACCCCAGACCGTACATACCCGTTATTGGACCTAAGGGATGGCCAGCACAACCCCGTAAGAATAATCTTATTTTACTTGTATTCACAAGAAACTGTTTAGTCAATAACAGAGGGAAAATAATGTTTCTTGCAAAGTTTTGCGTTGATTTGCCTTAAACGACGGAGGAGAAAAAATAAGAAAACTACTTTTCTTTGCTCTTTTCCAAAACCGTTCTTTCCCATCCTTAAAAGGAATGGGAATCGAAATGAACTAAAATGAAGTTTCCGGCACACTCTTATAAGACGTGGAATTACTTCCACTTCACCCTCGTATATTGAGCTGGTGATGATAAGAGCGTCGGTGGCTCAGTTGTTTGAGCGCTTGACTTGTAACTCACAGATCCTGAGTTCGTGATATCAAAGTTTCATCCGTCCCACTTTTTAGTCCAACTGCCACCAATAAGATGTCAGATGGAATCGTAATTAAAATAAGTGCCAACTGTCCCCTCGTCACAAAATGTGAAACGAATGAAACTTTTCATTCTCACGTGGGGACAGAGCGGGGTGATGGTTGAAAATAATCCCCTACTGAAGGGCTCGGAGGCTACCCTGATAAGGTGACTAGGGCTTAGTCAACCAACGTACACTGCGGGTTGGTTGACTTCACACATATCTTTGAATTTCTTCACAGATATGTGTATATTCTCATCTGTCTCCACGTGGGGACATCGGGGTGACGGTTGCGAATAATCCTCAGTGAGAACGTATAGTCAGCTGGTGATGATGAAGATGTCATGTTTCTATTCAACAGATAAGGGTTCTGGTAGCAGAGCGGTCACCAGTAGTTATGTATCAGATGCCAATTCTGCAGCGTCAGCCTCATCTAACGTTATCTCCTCATCTTCCACTAACACCGGTCCCCAAGGTAAGTGACAAAATCTTAACTATCTTTTTTCATAAGGAAATTCGATAAGGGTAAATACCCTCCATTTTGTCACCATTTAACAGCTGGCAACCCCCTCTCTTGCATGGATAATGATAGGCAACCCCACCTTAGAGTAATGTTTACGTTACGTACTACCGATTGGTGGCAAAATTTTCAGGAAATTCGATGAGGGGTTTTTCTTCCAAAAATTGGCTACTTCAGAGATCAATTAAACATAGCTTGGCCAGGCTAGGATTAGACAACCCGGTTACAACATGTTTAAAAAAATGTGCTCTTTCATACAATTTGATTCATTTGGTTTTATTAAAAAATCTGATGAGGGAAGGATGTTAGAGTTTATTTCCTAATGTGCTGAATGGATCTCGATGATTGTCATATACATGTAGAAGATAATCTGGAAGAACTTATGGGGTACTTACTTTTTTAATTCCACGCGGACGTAGTCGCCGGTAAAAGTTAATTTTTTTTATGAAAATAAACAAGCAGGCAATGTGAAAACCATCTTGTTTATTTGTACATTCTGAATTTATGACCCAATTTGCTGTGATCTTACTATTATAAATGCAAAAGTTTGAACGGATGGATGTTTGTAGCCTAAACTGCTAAACAGATCTTGATGGAATTTGGCACAGATGTAGAGGATAGTCTGGAAGAACACATAGGCTACTCATTTTTGTTTTAATTCCACGCGGACGTTGTCGCGGGCGCAATAAGTAAATTTATATAACTTACTTTATAGGGACTTCAAGCAGTTCATTAACGTCGTCTTCGAGTGCCTCGAACAGCAACTCAAACAGCTACTCTTCTATATCTACCGGATACACCGAAATTGAAGGTAAATCTTTTGCTGTAGCGATTGTACGTAATCCATACTAGTAATATAAGAAGTAAAGCCGCAGTTATGTCACTCTGTTGAACTAATAATTGCGATAAAATTAACTGTAAAAAATTGACACATTTATCAACAGAGAATAGTGTACTTTAAACTTGTATTTTTTTAATAATGTCTTCATTTTAACCAGATAACGACACTCAAAACAATTCGCCTACCGGCAACCCAAGTGGAGGACCTAGCCCAGGAGGAAGCCCAAGCCCCGGCGGAAACCCAGGAGGAAGCCCAAGCCCTGGCGGAAACCCAGGAGGAAGCCCGAGCCCAGGTGGAAGCCCAAGCCCTGGTGGAAACCCAGAAGGAAGCCCTAGCCCTAGCGGAAACCCAGGAGGAAGCCCGAGCCCAGGTGGAAGCCCAAGCCCAGGAGGAAGCCCAAGCCCAGGAGGAAGCCCAAGCCCAGGTGGTAGCCCAAGCCCCGGTGGAAACCCAGGAGGAAGCCCAAGCCCAGGAGGAAGCCCAAGCCCAGGTGGCAGCCCGAGCCCAGGTGGGTACCCAGGAGGACAACCCCGCCCAGGCAAGAAACCAAAGCGAGGTAATTATGATTATTAACGTAATCATTTCACGTTTTAAAGACTCCAATGTAACGGATCGAATAAAATATATTTAATGAAAATATAACAGGATAAAGATGGTTACCAAACAACGAAAGACCGCATGTAGCTTGGCCTTAAACATAACTAGTATTCTAACTTTCCTTTTGTCATAGTTAATTAGTTAACCAGGAATGGCGAACCTGTGGCAGTCGTGGCAATAAAGACACAATATTTTGGGCACCTCTGATCACGCTACGGAATGTTCACGTCATTGATCATTTCTTTAAGTAAATGTTTGCCACCGCTGGTTAACACTCTAGTTTTTGGTAGACCTAACATTAACGGGATATTTAATTAAAAATTTCAGGAAAGAAAACTAAATACACAAAACATAAGAGTAAATCCTCCGCCTTAGCCGAAGCTGAGGCTTCAGAGGAATCAAGCACTGAGTACACAACGACAACAAACACCGAAGAAATCGGTAAACTATTTTTTAAATTAAACTAGCTTTTGACCGCGACTCTATCTCGTGGAATAAAAAAAAAACACAAGTGAGCGGCCTATGTGTCCCTCCATACTATCCCGTACTATACCAAATTTTATCAAAATCCGTTCAACCGTTTAGGCTATAATCTATACTCTATACTCAATTATAAAAAAGAAAGATTTGCATTTTTGTATGTATTGAATTAACTAAAAAACTACTAGGTAAGTTATCTGTGAGTTACATAGGCTACATTTTATTATTACTAATGTTTAGGAACGATTAATAAACAGGGTGTTTCTGGACGCCGGCGTTAAAAATTTAACTTTTCTCTTCTTACGCTGCCTAAACCGTTAGAAGTATATAAAAAGGATGTATGAAAGAATTGTAGATCTCAAAAAGTTCTACAGAAAAGTCCGCGATCGCATAAATTTATCTTGAACGGTTTTCCTACAATAGCCACTGTTTTTTTTACAAAATGAATTAATAACCGCACGTTATTTGCGGCCTTCTTTTATTGGTTTCAATATTAATCCTTATCCAAATAAATGTGTTTATCAGGAGAATTTAGTGTAGAAAAAAATTGTCCTTTACAGTATTTAAATTGGACTTAATGTTTTGAAGATTTCGCTAACACAAACAATAAGGGTAATCGGAAAATCAGCTTACAAGTTACCGGGCTTAGACATTTTGGATCTTGCATCGGTAGATTTCTGTTATTACGTAGATTACTAATAAGATAATACTTTCGGTAATATTTTGAAAAAAGGGCGAACTTAAGTTTTGTACTTTCAAATTTCACGCGGACGAAGTCGCAGGCAAACGCTATCTCTAATACATCTGAACTTTACAATATTAGTGTCATTTGTTTAATTCCAGGAACAATAACATCTACTAGTACTACAGGCAGGACTTCTAAAAGGAGTCACAGTAAAAGTAAAGCTTCAACATCCAGTGAAGTGGAAACAGAAACATACGAAATAGGTAAAATATAAGCAATACGATTTATACCTTTTCAACCACTCCAATAAAAATATCTTGTACTGGACACTTTTAACAATTTATAAGCGACAAGCTATTCCCCAAGTTTTAGTCCGCATAGAGTTCAAATTTCAAAGCTTATTAATCTATTTAAAGTTATAAGTTTAATTCTTTATTGTTTAAGCGCAAATAATGTATTTACATCACATTACAAAACACTAAAATCATCAGTATTTCTCTACTATATTACGCATGTACTCGTACAATGTATACATGTAAACCTTTCTCTTGAATCACTATTAAAAAAACACTGCATAAAAATCCTTTGAGCAGTTTTAAAAAAATCAATACACAAAGAGATAGCGAAAAGCCACTTCGTGTTTTATTATGTAGTGACAAATGACCGAAAAGTCAAACGTAAAATTTATTTACAATGCCTTGGAATAACATCAACATAATAAGCTATCAGATTATAAATAGTTTGTTTAATTCACACCAAACTTTGTCGGTCTGTATTCTGCTAAGCCACAATTGTAAATCTATAAAAATATTACATAAAAGTTAGCGATTACATTTGTAATGTTGCCACCAACAACTAATGTATAACAAAAGATATATGTGATTTAATTAAGATTAATATTTTATTTTTGTAGGATGTGATGATGACACACCAGACGGTGATGGTAACCCAAGCCAAGGCGGTAGCCCAAGCCCCGGTGGAAACCCAGGTGGTAGCCCAACCCCAGGAGGAAGCCCAAGCCCAGGTGGAAACCCAGGAGGAAGCCCAAGCCCTGG